GTATTGCTTAACATTACGATGGAAAAAACTTCTTGCACATTCATTCGATGATTTATTCCATGGTCATTGATTATAGTATTTGATGGGCTGTTTTTGTTGAGAAGAACTTTCTGTTTCGAGAAATAGTTTAGTAAAATCATCGTCTCCGTCTTCATTTCTCTTTCGGCACCGCTCGTCAGGGGTCATCACCTTGGATTTTTCTCGTTCAACGTTCGCGAATTATTGCATTCACAGCTGTCACTGCAGCAATGTTCTCTTATGACATCTTTAAAACTCCGTTGTGATCGACCTTGCTTTAAGTGAGACTGTCATAAAACGTCAAATTTATTCGATCATAAATGGTGAAAGTTCATGATTCTTCCATCGTTTTGAACGCAAATTCCCTATTCTCAAATCGAATACTAAATTTATCTCATAATGCTATGATATGAATGTATCGTTCTGTTTGGTGTTCGTTTATACTGCGAGAAACTGCGGTATTGCTAATGTTTCATGAAGCATTTTCTTTGCAACTGGCGTTTTCCTTACCTTTAGCATTCGTTTCTAACTTCTACCACCTTTCCCATAAGATAGTAGCGTGAGCTGCTCAGGATAAAAATTGCGCTGTTTCTCCAATTAACCGTGATTTAGCACTCATGATCGGGATTCAGAAAGTGATTATGGAACAGCAAATGCATATGGTATCATTAAATATCATGCAGTTTCTGGCGTTTCTTTTCGGATTTGAATAATTCCGTTCGGCTCCATTTAACCACCATTCATTTATGTGTCCATTGACTCGGCATACTCGAACAGCATCCACATGATCCTACTCAACAATAGTCAGCATTGTTCGGTATTGTGTTCATCTAGGTATCATGCATCATGCATTCCATTGGTTATTTTATAGCACTTGTTTGAGTGATATGTTTGTACTCTTTCTTTTTCTGCATCACATCAGTATTCTACTTGCCTGCCCTTGATATGCCCCATCGCTTTTTTTGCTGAATTCCAATCAATTCCTTCTAAATGCAAACGCTCAGTTAACTTTTTTGATTTCAAATCCAAACTATTTGCAGTAGTATTTCTCAACGTCTTCGAAGTCTTTTCCTTTTATACTACTATCATTTCATATATCATTCGTTTATCTGTTTCATCCAAAGAAACTGACTTTTTGTGATAACCAATTTTTTTAGCAGATGCTTTTTTAATATCATTTGATTTTTTATATCATTTTTTAATAATATCATTTTGATTTTTTGCACTAATGAATATGATTGCTTGAGGTTTTTTATATGTTCCATGTTCATCCATAAGAAGTCTATCAGATTGTAAGCACTGTCTGTCGTTCTCGGGAACGTGCACAATAGTACTAGCAGAACGACACATTTTTTGTTCCCCGACATTTCATTTGATCTTCATTTTTTTAAATTTCGTCAAGACATCTGATTTTTTACTTTATCCCTGACATTTCATTAGGCAAGTCTGAACGTCGAGTTTTTGGAAAAGTCCCTTTTTTTCTGATCAGTACATTTCATTTTTGTAGCGAACCGAAAATTTTAAAATGTGATTTATTAATTGACAACGGTTGATGGTATTACATTGGGGTTAACGTTATCAATACCTGTCTTAGAGTCATCATTTTCTTTCAACCGATTGAATTACCGCAGCAAAACGTCTCGTTCCATAGAAAGGACCAGCATCACACGTGGTTTTTCTCATCTCGCCTAATCATATGCACTATTCGATAGGCAGTTTCGATTGTTCCTTTCGACGAACTAATAGAAAAGGCGATATAAAAACGTCTTTGGTGCTCAAGAATGACTCCAGATCATAAAATGCATCTCATTGCTATTTAAAAATGGCGAAATCCAAATCGAATGGCTCATAAATGCAGTGAAAAGGAGGGATAAATGGGATTTTTTAAGTGTGGATTGCGATGAATTAGTTCCTTTATTACGAGCAATTTAACGTTTTAGTGGTTTTATTCCGATAAAATGTGAGTATTATAAAGTCCTTATATTTCTAGTGGATATCTTTTCAGTTTTGCTCATTAGTGCAAATTTTTCGAGAAAACCCATTAAACATATCAGAACAATCTCGCCATTTCGTTTCACTATCGTTGCGATCATGCTCACGCAATCATTGATTCAATTGAAATGCAGTTCGCTGGAGGGGTTGAGCAGTTTCATGCGATTTGGATGACTTATAAGAGCTGGTAATCGTGATGACTTAATATGAGCTGATACTATCAATTATTACAAGACCTCGGTCCTTTTTGTGAGTGTCTTTTTGCTGACCCCGATCATTCTAAAGCAGTCTGAATGTTTCATCATCAAAACGTTGTTTCTCATATCAAATTCCAAAAATTTTTGCGCTCTTTTGACTACAAAGATTGATGAGTGCATGAGATGATCAGGTGATCAAATCATGCGGAAAATGCAAAAACTTTCGAAACAGGAGCACATCTTCTTAATCGTATAATAGATTTGAAACTGACGCAATTGTAACAAAAAATGTCAGGTGATTAATGCGAATAATCAACATAAGAAAGGTACGATCAAAAGGTAATAATCGAAAGGCACTAATAACAAAAAATACTAATCAAAATAATACCCGTTGTAATCGATTTATTAGGTTGAAATATTGATAACTGCTTCAAGAAAGGAATAATTCCATACTGTTTGTTACATATGCAAATAACCATATCGGGTCACCTTGCAACACAACAATGTTATGGAAATTGATTTCACACCGCTGCAATAAAACGATGGAAATTATTTTCCATCGGGTCACGTTGGAAAACGAAATGAAATCGCTTTCATCCGAGTCAAAATTGATTATGCACCGTAATTATACACTTTCGATTCACTTGTTCACTGCACTTTCGAACCAATTGTTCGTTTCACTCACGCAAATTCACTCTCAAGAGCCCATTCCATGCAATTTTTCAATCGAATCATCCAAATAATTTGCCGCTTATATTGTGATTGAAATAGTTGTGAAACTCGCTGAATTGTCAACTTATTACATACTTTTTGAGTGACCTAAAAATACCTCTCAAGGGTGTTCTTGGTTCCTGTCTTTTGTTCGAGATCTCTGTTTTCACATGAAATTACTGCTGCCATGTATTCTGGGATCTTCTAGACAAATTCTAGGTTTAAGTGATAGGATATGACCAAGGAAACATTTTCAGATAGAGTTCACACCTTCGAAATGCTTTATTGCATGCAGAAAGCGGTGAACTTGCTGTCTGTGGTGTACTGAAGACAACCAATCCTTTTGATGAATTCGTCATTTGAATTTGTCTCGGTGTATCTAAACTCTTGCACCCGCAACTGCTCTAGACCAGCGGAAGCAGACGTAACGGATCATTTTCATAGTCATACCATAAACCATCATTATATCGTATCAAACAAATTGGAAAAGTATTTTATGAAATGTGAAATTCGCTCGGCGAAAATCGATCAAAGCGTTTTTGTGGCAGTTCGATGACATTGTTGATGCAACGGTAATTATTCATTAATTGCGGAATTCAACACCGTTAGTATAGAAACATTTCACACGAGCCAAAAAGTTCATATTGGATACAGTTTATGACAGTCGCAGTGATATTTTGCAACGTTTGTTATTTGTTGCTGTTCGTTTCACTGCTCCGGTTACGGTTGCTCATGTTTCCCTATTCGACCGACTGAGAAATTCTTGTTTGGAAATTTTTTTTTGAAAATTCAAGTCGACTCACATTAATCGAATTTTCAACTACTTGAACGATCTCACTGAATATGTCTTTGAAAAATTCGATTCATGCCCACGATCATTGTCCATATACATTTGAGGTTCCAAAATTTGCGCAAAAACGTGCGAGAGTTATTGATGAATGTATTGCTGATAGGAAATCTGCCTCTCTGAATAGCCGAAAATACTTGGCTGGATCGTCTGGTCTCGGATGTTGTTCTGGAAAATCAGAATAAGGCTTTTCATCACTTTTTATTAGGATTCCTTCCTATGTTTGTGCTTGATCAAAACATTAATATTTCCATGGATACACGCACAATCTGCCTGAAGACGTTTTGCCTAAGGACAGTTTGCCTAAAGACACATTGCCTAACGAACAGTTTGCCTATTAGACTAAATATCCATTAAAAACTATTTGTCAGGTAAACTGTCAGTTAGGCGAACTGTCCGTTAGGCAATGTGTTTTTAGGCAAAAAGTCCTTAGACAAAACGTCTTTAGGCAAATTATCCGGTTACGGTTGCCATGGAATTGCTGAAACTGATTGCTTAACGTGCGTTTCGTTGAACAATCTCAGCGTTCTTTTCCCTTTGTTCGCATTTCCTCAACAATTCTCAGCCATCGTCGAATACTGATGTGCAATTGATTGCAGTATATCGAATTTAATCAGCAATCTTTGACTGTCTCTCTAATTGATGTGGCTTATCAATGGTGCCAGACAAACTTCTACAAGGTATTCTGGCACAAAAACGTCCCACTGTAACTGCTGTCTATTCGACGACTACGTCCATCATGATACAAGCGTTATTTTGCGACGATTCACTCAGTTTGAATCACTCAAGCCAAAACCAATACACCAACAGATGAAACGTTGCAATACACAAACGAAAACTCGTCCGAGTGTCTTGGATCATTGTTGGTCGTCAACAAACTGCGCAACAACTGAAGAAGCCAACGGTGACGAGATGACTCGAAAACCCTTAGCAACGAACATCATTGTTAATCGAACTGAATGCCGAACAGATGGTGCTCAGAACGAATCGCATTCAGTTGAAAGCCGCCCTCAATGCAGCATCGCGGAGAGAGCGTTCAAAAAACGAACGAAAAACAGTGTCGATGAAGAGCTTTTAATGTCTGAACGAAAATATCTGCAGCAATATTGTGTATCGCCAAAGAATCAACGACATTCTCCACGAGTCATCGTAAAAAAATCCAAAGCTTCGAAACATCCAATCAAATCTGTGCAATTATCTGTTATAAAGAAATGTGCGACTGGAAAGAATTCACCGTCACCAAAACTTGAGCAACGGCGAAAGAAATTTATGCGTGCAAATTGGGATCAGTCAAGTCAGGAGTATCTTACCGAGGAGTATTCGTATCGAAGAAGCGATCAAGTCATGTTTGAGAGTGATCTTCCCAGTGATCGAAGTTTTTGTCCTCTAATTATCCACTCCCCGAAACCTTTCAGGGTTACTCCAAACACTCATAAGCATGAACGAATGTTCCGATCGCAAGGTGCACACATTATTGGAATCAAACTTCTTTTTTAACGGCAACATAAATGATTACCTTATAATGTTGTTTCTTGAATATTTTAGGGGAATGCCCCGATTTTGAGCATTATAAGCTGCAAACAAATCCTGTCAGACGACTAAAAGCATTCAGTGGATGTTTTGTGATCAGCACTAATCTCATAATCGAACTGAAACAGTGGAAAAAGCAGTAATTGAAATACTAGGTCTGAGTATTGTGTTGATGAAAAAGAAGGATTCATTGTAGAGATCACCTATGGACCAGGCATTGTGCAAAAGTTACGAGATAAATTCGCTGAAATGTCGAATATCGCAACGCAGAATGTTCGTATTTCTCCGCATTCAAAGAGAAAACGATTTCCATCAGCAGACGATATTCTATCTGACGAAGCCGAAAACCGTGATCAAACACCCTATCGGTCAGTCAAATGATGCATTTTACTCGCTCGAGTTTCAATAACACTCTTCTAACCATTAAAAGAATTCATTTTGATATAACCATAAATATTCCAAATATTAAATTTTAGTAAATTTGCTCACATTGACTTCAGTCTGTGCATAATATCGCAAAGTGAAACAATAAAATTGTTTTTAGGCCTGAAAATT